ATCAGTGACCAGACCATTAACTACTTAAATTATTCAAAATGAGTCCCCTCTTTTCTGTTTGCATCTATGCTGAAGAGATTTGTACGACCAGCGGGAACAAACTTTTGCAAACTGTGCTTGTTTCGTCCTCCCGAGGTCACCATTTTCCCATTGTACTAACGGTGGCCTCTTTTATTAACTCACGTTAAAATTAAAACCACCAGCGCTTACTTTAATTTTAGCTCGAGTTTACCATCTATTTGTCACAGTAGCTCAAGGGTTAGAGAAGAGAAATCAGTGAAAATTTGGATAAAAATCGTGAGCTTTAACATCCTCAATCTATAAAATGTGAACAATATCTAAAAATCGCCACCAGAATTCAGAAAAATACTTTTTCTACAAGGGTAGAAGACTTATGTCTGCGTATCATAATCCCGTGCTGAAAAACAGAATACAATTGTTGCTTATGAAGCTTACCGACTACCGAAAGTTGCCTGTCTACAATAAACCAAAATAATTTTTTGCAACAAAACGGTCGGTTCACTTTCAGCTTACCTTCGAACTGGTGATCGGTCCAGGCAGAAGAGGCATTCTAAACCTATCCAGTTCGGTGCTTTGAAGAGGAAGCTTTCGGCCTGAAAACAAAGACTGTCCGAAAGCCGCCATCTGGGACGGCAGGTAAGTAAAATCGCTGCCATTCCTAACGATGTCCATTCGATTAACTAGTGCTGGCACGGAGAGCGAGTTCCTTCTTAAACCCAGCCTTTCGTTGACGTGGTAGCCTAGTTGAGAGGGAACACGTGTCGTTCCCGAGGCCTCAAGTATTCGTGGCAGAGTAATCTTCTTTGGTCCAGGCCATAAGACAAGGACTCTGACCCCTGGTTCAGAACTCAAGTAAAAGAAACCAAAAAAATCTAGGGAGCGAAGGAAATTAGGTGCTTCTTCCTCCAAATGAACATGTGGAATACTAAGAAGACGGCTCTCGGCCTACGCTAAAACTGCCTAAAGGTCAGAAATCACTTTGGCACAAACCTTTTCATAGGCAACCTTGGTCGCTGGTAGTTAGTGTCAGCTGCACCCCGTGCGACTTAGTTAGGAAAGTGATGAAAAAAATACATCATGATAACGACTCACTGTCTGTCGCACAGTTGAAACGTGGACTTTCTTGGTGGAAAATGTCTTACCTGCGGGTTCACTGTTTTCACTCAAGTTGAAAACGGGTACTGACACAAACGGAAACATTTACACTCTTAATGGACTAGAAAAATGTGCGCTGATACAGAGCTATGAATATGCTCTGTATTATTCCTACTCCTAAGTAAGCTTAAAGAAAAATAACGATAAAGATAATCTGACCTAGCAACCGATCGCTAACTTACGTAATCGTCGCAAAAACCTCCTCATAGCCTGAAAGATCCGTAACCACTACCTCAGTAAGGAAACACTAACCAAGGGTAAACTACAGGGACTATAGGGAACCTGCATTTTCTCCTCACCACAAAGGAACTTTTGAGCAGTGACATTATCTTCAAGTACTTGTTTTTGGAGTATGGTGGTGTCTAATTCAGCCCGAGAATACTACATCAGTTAATTTAAAAAATGGAATATGAAAATACACGTTGATATGAGTAATGACGATATCCTAAACAACAAGTACGAAATAGGGATTTTGTCGCAGAAAAAGGTATAAAAATAGATCAGAAGGCCAGTCTTCCGGTGGGCAAAGCACACATCTTGGCGCAAAATCAGTAAATCCTGCATATTCGTGTTTCCTATATACAACAAGAAGGAACGATATTTGCTGTGGTTAAACAGTAAAAGAAACTCCATGTTAAAGCATAGTAGTTTACATACCTGCGGTTTGAAGACAAACAAGGAGAAGTTTGTGGCCTTACGTCGGTCGGCAAAATATTACGATGGAACCTCTTCGTGAATTCTTTTAAAGGTAACGGATCAAGATGAGTTCCGTGTTTTACTTGTCCAAATTGGTATTTCTGTTTGAAGAAAAGGCACGAACATTATGGGCTGGAGGCATCAGTTCAAAAGAGCCAAACATGGTTTATAGGTAATAAGAGGTAATTTTGTCCAGGGCTCCCACGCTTAAATATATGCCAAAGCAACAATACGATCCTCGGTACACGTTAAGTCTAGCTGCACAAAAGCAGTTTACGAAAGTTACTATTATTTTTTCCCTACTGATTCTCGTTTTTAAAAGAAAAATATGGAATCCATTCCTTAGCATTAGACATGTTTGTGAATAGGCAGAACCGTACTGTGTTGAAATTTTAGAAAATCAAAGCGTAATGACGTGGCACTTTTAAGTTTGTTAGTTCCAATCGTGAAAGCGACCTCTTTTATGGTGATATAATAACAAGCGTATCTCAAATAATGTCAAAATAAAACAATATTTTCGGCGGTAGCTTCTTAGAAACATATACTGAATTATTCCAAGCAAGTAAAGTGAGGTGACCTAAGACGCGTTAGGTGCCCCACGCAACATTTTAAAGATTTTGTAAAATACAGTTTGTGAAATTTCACCATAGGGCAAAAGGATTTAGAATATTCAACATCATACTCTTTTAAAGTTGACTTAAAACGATGTCAAGCTACATACAGACAGGGTAAAATGACCAACACTAAGGTGAAAATATTAAGGCACCAAAAGTCAACTGAGTTGGTTGTCTAATTACTTGCGGCTTATAAAGATAGTTAACAGAAGCCAAGAGCAATAGGCGCCATGCTAACAGCCCTTGCGTTTTTATGCAAGTGATTCTTTTGCCGTTTCAAGTCCCAGCTAAAGCAACTATCGTTAAACGAAGTAAAATATCGCCATTTTAGAACTACTGCTAGATCAGCTGTTATCGTACTACCATTGAATCCCAGCTTACGAGAAGAAAAAGAAGACACAAATAAAGTTGTATATCTTGTATAATTTAAAGTAGAGAGAAATTGTCCCAATGAACATTAGTTACCGATATGGTAGTACACTGTATTAGTGTAAAGACCGAAAGAAACAGAAAACTTGGTTATTATCCTTAGTGCATTGGAGCGTCCACAATTGCGCTCGAGGATCAGTTACTTTTCGTGAACATTAATTTTCAAATTAAGGCGGCCGAAGCTCGCAGGGACAAATCCTGTACTCACCGCAGGATGACTTTGGACTCGTGGTAATGACTTTAAAGGGGGCATCTGAACTGAGTTTTTGGAGAGGTTTGGAATTTCGGATAATTTCTTATTTGCTAAGACGATATTTATATCCCGGTTATATGTTCTACTCGGAATTACATCAGCTTTCTTTGATTTCTTCGGACGCATTGCGTTGACGAATGCATTTGACTTCGTGCCCTGAAGAGCTAAATCAAGACTGGTTTTTATAACCTTTGAGGGGAGGTTTTGCTTTTCTTTGTTTGAAATGTCTCCGCATTTAGAAACCTTGTCCGCAAGTGAAGGCATCTTCAGCTTCGGACTCATTCTCTTTGGAATACGAAGTGGAGAGTAGTTCTTCAAAATACCACCAATTTCTTCGCAACCGCTAGAATCTCCGGCAGAACTGGATTCGGAAGAACTGAGATCCACTGAATTTCTTCGGCATCGTAGCCACTTGTTTGAACGAGGTTCTGTTTGCTCGAGAGAATCTCCGTCTTTACCATTGTGTTTCTTAGTCTTCCTTCGACGTTTATGCTGCAGTTCATGTCTGTCAGATGTGCTCTCGTTTGTAGTGTTGAGTGACGTAACCGAGGGTGCTGGAAGATAACTGTCCATATCACTATCATTCGTCTTGGAATTTCTAGCAGACAAGTCATCCAGTGGCCGAAATGATTTGTGCTTTGGATTGACGTCAGATAGTAGGCTAAGTTTGACCAACTAAAAGGAAACGTAATAATAACAGGTAAGCTGCAGTATTTAAAACGAAAAGTTCATATTTTTGCTCTTATTTTAAATTATTTAGTTTCAGTGTATTTTTTAAAATGAGAAAAGGCAGTTCGGCAGACAAATTTAAGGAGTTAAGCTCTACAGCACACAATATTAGGGAAAGGAGTATCAGATCTATTTAGATTAAAACTCCTCAAAAAAAGAGGGCGCAAAGTACAGCACCTGCGGCCCATAGTTTTGTTGAATGTAATTATAGTCACGTGTATTTAAAGGTGTGGAAAATTAAAGCGGAAGTACTTCTTTAGAGGCAGGTAGTACATTGAAAAAGCAGTTGCAAGGCATGAAGAAATTCTTAAATAGGGAATCTGTTCTCCGAGTGGTGTCGAGTACACTTCTATAAAGAGAACGAAAGGATTTGTCTGAAAACTTTTTTGCCGAAAATTGTAGCAATGAGGCATTCAGTTAAAATAACAATATAAACGTACTTACAGCATTACATAAGACGGCTGATGTGGAAGATATAAGTCTGTCTGTGCGTCGTTTATCTGAAGTGGACAAGCTTCTTCGAAGTTTGCGGTCCACTCCCTCCAATCTAAAAGAACTCTGAGTATGAGGTGTTCATTACCTCTGATCACCGTTAATTGGCAGCGCCCGAAGTGAAGACACGTTTTTCACAGAGGGGCTGGCGAGATTTTTCACGGATAATGTTTTCTTGAATGGATAAAATGATCGAATGAGTCCTACCTTTAGAGTGTTTTCTGAGCCAAGAAGACAATCCACAACATCATTATACGGCTAAAAAGAAAATAAAAATGACATTTTTTACACTTGTTGCGGTGATGAGATTTCCAAAAATCGACTCGAGTCGCTGACACCGTTCGTAGTTTAAACCATCACTGACAACCTATGCATTCATTAGGTTTGAGCGACCTAAGTTACATTTTGTAAACTTGTAATAGTCTTTCTCAGTTCAGGAACATCATGGAGGGATTTTGGAATTTTTTCCGATAAAATTACCCTATTCTTTTAGATAAAATTAGAAAAATACTTTGTAACTCACCTTATGATTGTAATCACCCAGAGATGGCCGGATGCTCACGCTCTTCCAACCAGCTTCTCGTTGTCTTTGGTGTAGATAATCGGCGCTAAAAATATATGAAGAATATATAAAAATACAGTTTCCCGGCAACTTCGCCTATTAAATAATTAACACCGTGCATTCCTGAGGAAATCAAAAAAGCTAATCATCCATCCCGGTTTTTCCGTTGTGTGACTTTATCGAGATAGTTTAAACAAAATAATTTAGGGATAAAACACAGAATGGTGCTTAGTCCCCAACACATCCATTATGCGTTCTGTCTGGACATTAATTATAAATAAACGTTCAGCTTTTTTGGCCAAGCTAAGTCTATATACCAGTCACGCATTGCATAAGCTTTTAACTTCATATAATCCTTTAGCGTACTGGTCGTGATACAGTTGCGTTATTTATTGAAAAACAACGTAGTTTTAGGAACATTCTTAATTTTCGCAAAAAATGTAATCCGCTGAATCTGGTTTTATTTGTGTGTCATCTGTCCTAGCACGTCCTCACTTTAGCGTGGTAAATGCAATTTCCATGTCAATTAGAAGTGTACGTTAAGCTCACAATTATAATGAAATATTGTGCGTGTGGGCTCTTAACCCTACTTGTGCGTTGTTAAGACTTATCAATAACCAATTTTGCTTAGACTCAAATATAACACTTGCACACTTT